CACGTTAACAATATAAGCATCACAGTAATAACAATTACCACTTAAAATTGCTCTTTTTCTTTTTCACTTAACTTGTAACAGTAAATTGAAATACAACTTAACGTTTTTTGTGTCATAGACCTATTCGGAAACCTGGGAAAGTCATGGGCCCTTCTAAGAATGATGTTTTTAAATTAATAGAATAAAATACATAGGATTACAAAGGAAGCAAATTATATTGTAATGAGTTAACAAGATATTTTTTAACAATTCACAGACCCCAAGTTAACCTGTGACTTAGAGTAACTAATGATGACATCAAACTCCTTAATAATTGCTTCAAAAGCCACTTACAAGGGGCAACTAGGTGGCGCAGTGGATAGAGCACGGGCCCTGGATTCAGGAGGATCTGAGTTCAAATCCGGCCTCAGACACATCACTTACTAGCTGTGTGACCCTGGGGATTCTCTTGACATCAAACCATTCATAGACCAGAAAGAAGACATAGTCATGTTCATTTGAGTTCACTTCCATTGAATTTAATTCAATTTTAATACTTATGAATATTATGAATATATGGATGTGTGTGTACACGTGTGTATATGAAATCAACAAGTTATCAAGCATTCACAAGTTCTTGTTCTGTGCCAGGCACCGAGCTAAGCACTGGGAATACAAAGAAAGTAAACAACTGTTCTTGCCCTCAGGGAACTTATAATTTAAAGGGGAAGAAAGCATAAAAACCACTACATACAAACAAGATATATGCCAGATTAATGATTTGTTCCACAATATTGTCTAGGTAAAGGAATGAGAAAGTTATGAGATATTTATATGAAATGCTATAATTAGGCATCTTTCCAGCTCAGTCCAAAAAACATGAAGGTTGCCCTCAGATGTATTGGAAAACAGACATCCTAGGACATGAACATGAGTGTGGAAGAAAAGGAAGTCATCATACACACACACACACACACACACACACACGCTTTTGTTGTTGTTGTTCAGCTGTTTCAGTTGTGCCCAACTCTTCATGACCCCATTTGGGGTTTTCTTGGCAAAGATACTGGACTAGTTTGCTATTTCCTTCTTCAGCTCATTTTACAGATGAGGAGACCTATTAGGCAAACAGGGTAAAGTGACTTGCCCAGGGTCACATAGCTAGTAAATGTCTGAGATTTGAACTCAGAAAAAGTCTTCCTAACTTCAAGTACAGCTTAGATTATGGTATTTTATAAAATAAATACTTTTTTCAAGTGTATCTTTATACCACGTCCAGGGAAATGGGGTAGAATGAAGAGAAAGCTGACCTTGGAAGCAGGAAGATATTCCCTCTCTAACATACACTGTCCATGTGACTCTAGGCAAGTTACTTAACATTTCAGGACCCTGGGTGAACTGTCTAAGACTATAATTTGCAGAGAGTTCCCTATGTCAGTGAACTCATAAGTCCTGTCTTTATCCCTTATCTTTATACCATGTCAAGTAAAAATTCTTTATTATTTCTAATACTTCCTAGGTTTTTCTTGTTCATGATTTAGAAATCCCACTGTGAGGAAGACCTTGCTGCAACTGAAAATTCTTTCATCATCCAGTGTGATTTTAGCATGGTGCAAAACTTTCATTGTTCAAAAGTTTTTATTAATTCCAAAAATTCAATCAGATTAAATTATTACTTTATAAAAGCAAACAAATTTTGGTTTAGATAATTCTATGTGAAGACAGAGAATTATTGAGTATAATCTCTGTATACTGTTTATGAAAGCCAACTTTAAACACAAACAATAGAAGGCTTTTGGTACAATGACATCTTTGTATTTCTAGTCTTCAGTTTTCACAAATATTACTTTTAAATGTCATGAAAAATAGAGGCAATCTAGGGATAGATATACTCAATTTTCAGGTTTTATAGCTATCCTTTACCAGTCTCCCTTTTTTTTGTTCTAGTTCCACACCAACTATGAATGCAGGCCTCTCTTGGTTAAAGGAGTGCAATATATTGTTTTGAGTCTTCTTAGGTTTGAGATGTTCGATTTTCAAAGACTTTTAGGGCAACCCTCTAGATGCCAAATAATTTTTGAATGCCTGAACTACATAACAGAAACCAAGGGAAACATTTAAATAGGAAAAACCAACAGGTTTCAATGTATTGGGATATTGTATTGTAGCTAATGAAAAATACAGAGAATAAAGAAAGGTGGTGAAAATATATGTAAAATAGTGTGAAAATGAAGAAAGCAGAACCAGGTTATCATAGTGTCTGTGGGGGAGGGGGTGGAAGAGAAAGAGAGAAAAAGAAAGAATGTATGTTCATACAGTGGCAAATTAACACAGATAATGAAAGGAAACAGAGGAAGATAGTAATTGCTATAGCTAGCTTTATGTTAAAAGCCTTTTAAAAGTTTTATTAGTTGCAAATGCAAGTTTAATTGATTTCATTATTGTTTGATGCAAAATTTACAATAAATTACATATTTAAGAAATTCATTTTTGGAGGATAGCACTTTTAGGAGTGAAGAACAAGGGATTGAAAACATTATTTTATGTCATTGACATTTTATATTGCCTATTTCTATAACACATTAATATAAGTTAAAAAAAGACAAAGGATTCAAGTGAATGTATTCATATGTTGGTTTATTGCATAAATAACTCTGAGACTATGCTACAGCGGTCAAAACAGATTTTTAAAATGTCTCCAATGGAGAAAAAAATTGTTCACTTTATCAAATTATCTTAGAGTATCTATTTATCTTCTTTCAAATGTATTTGAATATCAAGAAGCAATAAGAATCTGAGGGCATAATTCCATAAGCTATCCTGCATATGTAGAGCTTGCCGAAGTTTATACTTTGGTTCAGGTGGTCTTTGAACATTTCCTTTCTTCTCTTTTAAATCATTCTTTATGAACTCCTATTCATTGTGTGAGCACTGAAAAGTCACCTTCCCTTCTCTGAGCCTCAATTTCTTCATCTGTTAAATGAGTGATGTGAGCACATCCTCTTCCTTCGAGTCATCATCATCATAGAAAGCATTTATATAATGCCTTCTATGTGTTAAGCTCTCTCTCCTCAAATATTATCTGATTTGATCCAGACAACCCTAATAGGTAAGTGCTATTATTATTATTATTATTAGCATTTGACAGTTGTGGAAACTGAGGCAAACAAGAGGTTAAGTGACTTGATTAAGGTCACATGGCCAGTTTCTGAAGTCAGAATTAAACTGGTCTTTTGACCTTTCAGTGCTCTCTCCACTATGCCACCTAGCTGCCATGATTGCTATAGTCTTTTTTCATATCCAAATTTTTGTTTTTATTTTTTTGCTTAGGCAATTAGGGTTAAGTGACTTGCCCAGGGTCACACAGCTAGTAAGTGTCAAGTGTTTGGTCTGAGGCCATATTTGAACTCAGGTCCTCCTGACTTCAGGGACAGTGCTCTATCCACTGCACCACCTAGCTGCCCCAGTATCCAAATTTTAAGATGCCACCACAGTATAAGGTTAGAACACTTCAAGGAGAAAGCAAATTATAATATAGACAGGTTGAAATATGTGTGGCTTATTGCCATGTAAAGAATGTGTGGAATGATAATATATCTAATATGTTGGATAATCCAAAGGCAAAAAAAAAAATTAAATTAAATATATGTGATGTGTTCCTACATTTTGGGACTAGGAATCTAAGACCTCATTTATAGGCCTCATTTTACCTGTCTTTGTCATGAAGGGAAAGTCACCTACCCTCAGTTTCTTAACTGATGCAATAACTAAAGTGTATTTGTAAAATTCTTCTACTTCCAAAGTTAAATGAACATATGATTCAGATTTTAAAGACAATATAGTGCTATAAATGTAAATTAAAATTCGAGGTTCCAAATACCAAAATTCTAAAAGGACCCACTTTATGTTTTGTTAATAAAAGAATAAATAGATTTCTATAAACATTATTCTCCTATACTTCCGTGAATTATGTTGCTCCCATGTGTAGACATGTAGAGCAGGTCACTGGAGTCCCTCGTGACAAGATGCTTTTCTTCCAAATCATTCAAGCAGAAAGATCAATTCACCACTTGGAGATGTCCTTTGTACATACAAAACTCTAGGACACAAATGACACATGACTTCCAACAAATCTGTATTGCCCCTTTTGCTAACAAGCAACTCGGGGCAAATGGATTGCATTGCTTGTCAGTTCTGAGGCCAGAGCTTCCCAAATGTCTTCACGTATCTTTCTACTGTTTATATTTTGTTTAGGTTGTTAGAGAAACTTCTTCAGTTCACCATGGCCTTCAAAAATGCACACTTTTGGATCCTTTTACCTTTTTATGACTATTCTATTTCTCTTAAGGCAGTATGTTGTTGTCACAGAGGCCTCCTTTTTATGTAAATCTGGCATCTTTTGACCTGACATTTTCCTAATCCATAGGCATTTGCTATCATCTGAGTATCAGTGTTTGCTCAATACTGACAATCTCTATGGTCTTACACTTTGCCTTTTCTTATAAATCCAGATGGGCTCACTTGTCCTGTTATTTGATTGTGCTAGAGTTGAGGGTAGTGCCCAAGGTGGCACTAGTTATTGGAACCATCCATCTTTAGATTTGTTAAATCTCTACCCTGTTGTTCAGAACTAAATTCTCTCAACAAGCCTTACCTAATTAGGCAGTTAAATATTGAATTTTCCCTATATCATTCTACATATTCAAATACCTTGGTTATGTCTTCCTTTTCTAAGCTTTTTCATAGAATCATAGACTTTATACAATGGTGAGTTGAATAGGAACTTAGAAAACTGAGATTAGTTTAAGTGGTGTGGTTCATATTAGCATAGGTAGAGGCATTGTTTAAAGTTGAAGTCCATTGTTTAATCTGACCTACCTATTTGTGATTTGCCCACATGCTTAAATTTCCTTTTAAAAGATAAGATAATCAATCTAGAACCATATGCTTGGAAATATAAAAGGGAAAAATGGAAAGGAAACCATGAATTTATTTTTCATATATATTATTTTGTTTTTCAGTTTAACAGCAATGCCCAGGATGTGAGCTGCTTTCAACATCTTGTCCAAGCAAATGTAAGAAACAAGAAAGTGCTGAAAGATGCTGTGAACAACATCACTGCTAAAGGCATCACAGATTATAAAAAGGGCTTTAGTTTTGCTTTTGAGCAACTGCTAAATGTAAGTATCTATATCACTTCTCAGATGATTCCTAAACCATGGAAACAGGAGGTCAATGTCCAATTTTCAGATTTTATTTGGAGCAAAAGCCAGTAGTACATTTCATCTATTTTGCTGTCATTGATTTAAAGCCAACCATCCCCTTTTTCCTTAGCTTTGCTTCAAGAACATGATCATTTTAAACTGGGAAATATCCATTTTTTCACTCCTTTTAGAAATATTCCTGAATTGCATTCCGAATTAGAATTGCATTAAAAGTCAAATTAATACATATTGAGTGACATTTGTTGAATACTGAATAGTGTGCTGAAAGTAGAATCAGGAAGACCATTGTTAAAATCCTGCCTAAGCCACTTACTAGCTGTGAAACCCTGGGCAAGTCACTTAACCTCTCAGGACCTCACTGTCCTCATCTGTAAAAGAAGGAGTTTAAACTTGTTGTCTTCTGATGTCTCTTCCAGGTCTAAAACTATGATCCTATGTATAAGTTAGATATGCATAAACCTATTCAGGAAGGCAATGTTCTTTTCTTCAGAATGTATAGTACAGGCCCTCAATAAATGTTTACTGAGAGGCACCTAAGTGGCACAGTGGATAGAGCACTGTCCTTGGAGTTAGGAGGACCTGAGTTCAAATCCGACCTCAGACACATAGCACTTACTAACTGTGTGACTCTGGGCAAGTCATTTAACCCCAATTGCCTCACCAATATAGATAGATAGATAGATAGATAGATAGATAGATAGATAGATAGATAGATAGATAGATAGATAGATAGATAGATAAATAATGTTTATTGAGTTGAACTTACTTGAATCTTTTGAGAACCTTTCCTCAATTTATCTAATACGTTTCTTGTGACATTTACTTTCAATCATCAGTTACTAGAGAGCTGACTTAGCTTTAAGCATCCTGTTTTGGTCACCAGGGTGTTCAGTGGTTTTTGAGTCTGTAATTCTCCACACTTTGGTTGCTGAGAGAAACTGTGTGAGTGCCCAATAGAGAAAGAACTGCATGTCCCACAGTGCCTTTGGAATAAGCTCAGCAGGAACAAAAATTACCTTTAATTATTAAAGACATACATTGCTCCTTGACTGACATCATAGAGTCCCCCAATTGGAAGAGATCTCAGAGGCCAACTAATCCAACATCTACATGGAGGAATTGCCTGTACAAAAATACCAAAAAGTAACCACAACCAGCCTCTTCTTAAAGATTCCTGCTAATAGCATAGTCTGACTGTCTACTCAGCCAACCCATTTCATTTTTGGATAGCTCTGTTGAGTTCTTTTTTTTTTCCCCTCAAAATCTGCTTTTCTGTAACTTCCACTCATTTCTCATTTTGCCCTCTGGGGCCATATGTTTTATTCCATAGTTCCTCTAATCTTCACGTTTTTAACTTAAGGATAACTGGATGCTCTCTTATCATGCCTTACGTTATTTTTGTTTCGCTCCTGTTGTAGCTATTTGTTCTATCATTTCAAGGTGAAAGATTATTCTCTTTAGTAGAGGGGAAAAAGGAAACAAAATACTAGTTCTGTTTTGTCTATGTAATGCATTGTCGTCCGCTTATTGATGATGAGTACTGGTGAAAGTGTTATTATTGGGGCAGCTAGGTGGTGCAGTGAATAGAGACTGGCCCTGAAGTCAGGAGGACCTGAGTTCAAATCTGGCCTCAGACCAAACACTTGACACTTAATAGCTGTGTGACCCTGGGCAAGTCACTTAATCCCAATTGCCAAAAAAAAAAAAGTGGTATTATTATCTTTTTTTTGACCTTTCTCTTAGCTCCCCCCCAAAGAAAAAACAATACCAAACAAAGATACTGATTCAAATTAGAGGCATTCAATTATTATCTAATGTAACATAAAGTTCTGAAGTTATATTGATAGAAAATTTAAAAATCTGTTGGGGATCTGACCAATCACCTTTCAGTTTATTTTAGCCCTACATTATTTAGAAAAAATTCAAGGTTAAAAACATAGATAAACATTACATGTATTTTGGATTTCACATATTAAACTCATTTCAGTGTTTAAAAAATAAGAGAAATGCAGTATTATTTATTTTTACTATCAATGGATTTAGAAATATTTCACTTTTAGAGGGGTAAGAGAACAGATTTTAAAATGTAGGGTTTTTTTTGGCCCTGAAATAATAATCAAGTTTTCTGGGTCATAGCCTTTTAATTATTTTGGTTTGCCTTTCTGCATTCCCTCTAGTTTTGCTTATTATAGTCTGGTAATGAGGTGCCTGAAACCAAATGTAGTATTTCAGAAGCAATCTCACTAGAGAGGAAATATTAAGTCCCAGATTCATTACCTGCTGCCTCTGCATATAGGATCCAAATCATATTGGCCTTTTGTGCCAACACACAACATTTGCAAATGCTTTTCTAATATGTGCTCAGTTATTCCCAAGTCTCTCTCAGAATTTCTGCTTTCCATTCTTTTCTTCTATATGAAATATCTTTGTTTTTAAAAAAAAAAAATTCAATCATCATGGCTTGCCTTTTTCAAGTCGAATATCATTATGATCTCTCAAATACTCCTACCATTTCACATTGTAAGATAGAATTTCTATAATCCTCATTGGTCCCTGAACCATCTTTTAATTTCTTGCAGTGTGGGAATTGCATTTCAGCATAGTGCATCCACTCTTCCACATCAGTGAGGAAGGCGTTACATAGAATTAGACCTCTCACTGATCCCCATGGTACCAACTTAGATACCAGTTTGAATTAATTCTACGAGTAGTATTCTCTGAAATATTACTATTTCATAGTATCTACCCTTTTATGAGCCTAAATTTCATTTACCTATTCATTTTAGTTTTATTCAAATAATAATTTCCCTCCAATTAATTCTCTGTAAGCCATCCATTCATATTTCACATGATTTTTCTTGTAACTAGATGAACATACACCATAATTTTACTATAATGTACTCTGATATACTAATGAATTTAGTGTTCAATAAGTTATGAACAGTGCTAATCTCTGGCATTGTAAATAGAATGTCTTATTGTCTGCTCATCACCTACCCTAGTATCCAATGCCTTTGTGCCTTTCCCCTTTTTCCAGTCAATATCTGTTTTCAGGAAAGGATCTGATGATGTTCATACCAACATCACTGATAAATTTTAAAAATTAAACATATAACAAAGTTTTAAACCAAGGAAATGAATGGTAGAATTCTAGGAATCAGTAAACTTATGATGGGAGTATTTTGGGGAACATGGAGTCACAATTCTTTTACTGCCAAACAGATCATTCACCAAAAAAATGACCCATCATTTGAAAGTGACAAACTTTTTCTTTTTTTTTTTTAAAGCAAAACACATTTATGCCGGTAATTTCATTTTTGCCATATTATCTTAAAACTGATTCCCGCAAAATTCTAAAATTCTAGCATATAGTAATATCATTTAATGAAAAGATCTTTTGTTCAATTAAAAACAGTTCCACATAGTTCTCTTTACATAGCAGAAAGTAAGGTTTATCTCTTCCTTGAAATTTGGGCTGCAGGAAATGAACCTGCAACATGCATGTACTTCTAAGATTTAGGTAGGGATTTAAGCAAACTATAATAATGATTACGTTTATAAACTAGAATAACTCTTTTTAAAAATCAGAATTATAAATTGGTTAGCTCTTTGCTACTCAGTATTTTAGCAAAAAAAAAAGTTATTTAATTTTTTTTCCATAAACCTAAACTTACTTCTAAGGGAACTACTTTTTTTTTTTTTCTTCAAGCCCTGGAGATAAAATTGTTGTAAGATTTTTTTAAATTAATTTTTGTTGTCTCACTTTTGTGTAGTTAGAGAAGATGTTAATCACCTGGATAAAGAAATAAATGTGTGACTTGCAAGTTAATGGAGAGCAGTGATTTCCTATACACAAAGGTTTTGAAATGCTTAGAGAAAGTATTTTGTAGAATTATAGAACTTGAGAGTTGGAAGGGACCTCGATGGCCATATATTCCAAGGTGTTTTTTTTCCTCTGAATTTTCTATTTGAATGAATTTGTTCCTTCTAGTTTCTTCAGGTAGCAGTCAACAACTTAGCAACTGACATTTGTATATTACTTTCTAAGGTACTCTTTGAGTACCTTATATATGTTAACTGATTTGATCTTCACAACAAACCCTGGGAGGTAGATGTGGCTATTAGTCCTATTTTTTTTTTTTACAGGTGAGGAAATTTTCAGGGTAGCTCTTTTTGATATAGTCTAAATAAATCACAATTTCCTATACCTCTTCTGTTTATTGGTGGTTTAAAACTTTACAAACAACTTCTATGAAGCAACATTTTCCTTGGTTTGATTTTTTATACTATATTTTAAGTCACCAAAATTCCTCTTAGAATCAATCCTCACCATGTATGTATAAGCCCTTGCCAACATTTTTAGTTACAGTTAGATATGTAATGTCCTTGCTTCCTAGTTGCTTCCACCATATACTCTTCTGTATCCTAAACAATTGGATTATACATATGTTTTACAGTACAACGTGTCTAGAGCCAATTGTAATAAAATCATCATGCTGTTTACGGATGGTGGTGAAGAGAGAGCACAGGAGATTTTCACCAAATACAACAAAGACAAAAAAGTAAGTACCATTTTATCACAATTTTTTTTTGAAAACTCTTCTAGTTCTTCTTGGTTAGAAGTGAGAGTGAAGGATAGGTTGGGAAAATATTGGTCACCAAGAACTAGAAGATGACATCATTTCTAGAACTAAAAATAAGTGATATTTGAGATACATTGAGGGGTATGATCTAGTAGAGTTCAGCATTGCCTTCTTCACGTTTTTGAAGGAACTGTGGCCATCTGTGGGCTTTCTCTTCAACCACATAATTTTCAAGCCACCCCTATCAATTGCTCTGTAAGTATTTATTAAGCATTCACTCACTCACTATGTACTAAGGATACAAAGGCAAAAGTTATAGACCACAAGAAGCTTACACTGTAACCAGAAGGAGAAAAAATGTAAATAAATATGTATAGCTAGAGATAAATGCATTATATATGTCATATGTATACATATACATATATACATGATATAAATATATGCACACACACTCACCAATGTGTATGTTATATATAGAGTAGATGAAAATGTATTTAGAGGAAAAGGGAGTATGAACTGCTTATTGCTTTTTCAACTTGTTCAATTCTATTTATATTTTAAAATTTATTTCATTTATGAGATAAAACAAGTATTTCCATAACACAGTATATAATTAAAAATGGTTGCACATGAAACTGCAAATCTATTATGTAAAATTTGTCATTCTTTTTAAAGTTATCATGTAAATTTCTTTTTTCCCTTTTTTCTCCCCCTACCCTAGAGATTGCTACCATTAGACACGTGTGTGTGTGTGCATGCGCGCTTGTGTGTGTGTTATGTAAAATCATTCTATGCATCTGTTTATCAGTTCTTTCTCTGGATGCAGACAGCTTCTTCCTTCATGTTGTTTGTACTTTGTCCTTTATACTTTGGGTATTTATAATGGTCAAAATGACTTATTTGCTCAAAGTTGTTCTTAAAACAATATTGCTATTATTGTATACAACATACTCTTGCTTCTGCTTCTTTTGCTCTTCATTATTTCGTGCAAGTCTTTCCATGTTTTTCTAAGATCATCGAGTCATCATTTCTTATAACACAGTAGTAGTCCATCATATAACACAACTTGTTCAGCCATCTTTTTCAATCCTTATTCCTATTTTCTCATAAATCCACTACATGGTACAAGATATTGGAAAGTTCCTTTGTTTCTCTTGACATTTACTTGGTACCAATAATTTAGTAAAATGGCTTGAAACACAGGCTCCTATTCTGATATTACTGAGAACAGAAACTGCACAGATCCAGTCCTATCCCTATTTCTATAAACTCCAAAAAGAAGGAATGATCAGAGACAGAGACACAGGGAAACCTGGAAGATATAATAGTTACACAGACACAAAGATGGGAATAATTGGAGACAGAGATAACAGAATGAAAAGAAATTAGCAACAGACTTTCTTTAAAAGGAAAATTATTATGTATTATATCCAAAAAGAAAGCTGAAAAAAACTTCATGCTAAATTATATAGATTCATCTATACTACACTCATTTTTAGGATTTAAATAGTACATAAGCATTGGGAAGCTGTCTGTAATTGTAACCAATTTCCCTTTGAATTCAGACCTCAAATCCAACTCTTTCCCCTCTTAAAAGCACAGAGGTCAGCAGTAATATTGAAACAGTGTGAAAGTTGAAGTGTTTGAAAATCAGTTGCTGGTGTGATTAATGGTATGTTGGCATTGTCCACACTGGCAGCCATTCTAATAGATTGGGTAGACTTGTAAAACATTCTGGTTCCTTCTACCGTCTACCAACATATGTATCCCATCTGTAGGAAAGCAACACTGAAAACAAATGAAACCCAATTGCAAACATTTGCCCTCTGCAATCTCCATTTCTTATTAAAAAATATCAAGTGGCACTTTTATGGGGTAGTCAAATCAAAAAGGATGCTTCTTTTTAAAAAGGATACCAGAATTAAACTATAGTGTTAGGTTAGTGCTCAGTATAAATACAGCTAAATGAGTCTGGGATGTAGTCCTGGATTTTCAATGTTATTTATTATAATAGAAGCATCAGCTCTGTTATAATTATTGTTGAATTATCTATTATCTGTCCTTATCAGAGCATAGAGTGAGCATTTTAATTAACTCTTCTGATAGATTGATAGTCAATTATGCCATTCATGGATTACCAGCTTTCAAAGAATTCAAATATAGTAAAATTCACTTAATATTAAAGCTATATTGAACACAACTTAATCTCCCTCTAGTAATTGAGAAGATACTTTAGCTTAAAGTGGTTTCAGATCAACATTGTAAACATAAATTATCATTGTATTATAGGTGTGTGGCAAATGCCGGATCATAGAGATTCGCAGTGAAAAAATGCTAGATAAACCTGCTTAGTATGTTTTGATGCCCTCTAACCAAACTAATTTCATGTTGCATTAAATCTTATAGTGGGAGTATTGTTCAAGTTCAAGTACTTTTCTTTTTAAAACAGTAACTGCTACATTTATCAGGTCTGAGTTTGCCCCCTTTGAAATATGTCTTAATTTTCTGAAGAAAGGAACATCTTTGGCACAAATTGCAATTAAAGAACAAAGTACATGGAGTGTATTGTTCTAATTACAGAGATGTGAAAGGATCAGCAGTAAGTCACTGAGGACCCTTTCATTTCAAACCTTGTTTCACCTTACTGCCCTTCATGCACTCTGTAGTATAGCAAAGCTGGATTAGTAGCTGATCCCTTTCAGACTCTGCCTTCTGTCCCTGTACATTGGCACAATACTGTCCCCCCCACACACATACACATAGACACAGTTGTGCCTAGAATACCCGCCACAACTCCACCGATCTCATGAGACCTCTCCTCCTTGAGGCCTTCTCAGATCCTCCTGTCTCATAGTGGTTTTTTGCCTTCTATTTTACTGCATTATTTTGCCTCTGTCTTATACTGTCTTTTATTATGCTTAATTATGTCTCTGCCACACCCTTCTAATCTTGGTTAAGCAAGGATAATGCAATTTTTCATCTTTGTGGTCCCACAGATGACTGTCGTGACTCAAGCATAATCCAGGCTTAATGTACTTTATAAATGTTGAATGACTTTGTACTGGCTGTGTGACCTTAGACAAGTAACTGAACTTTTCTGAACCTCAGTATTTCTGTCAGATAAGGAAATTAGACCACATGGCCTCTGAATTTCCTTCCACTCATGAAATTCAGTGATGTCATCAAAATTTATGTTAATTTTCTTTTGTTTTAAAAGAAAATCCTGATTGCCTCACCAAAAAGCAGAAAACATAACAAAACAAAACCTTATTAAATCAACAAGCTTTTATTAAGCGTCTTACCACATACCAGGAGCTTGAGCTCTGAAAACAAAATGAGACAGTCCCTTCTCTAATTAAATTTACTTTCTACTTTATTTACAGATGAGTAAAGATGGGGCAGCTAGGTGGAGCAGTGGATAGAGCACTGGCCCTGGAGTATGGAGGACCTGAGTTCAAATCCAGCCTCAGACACATAACACTCACTAGCTGTGTGACTCTGGGCAAGTCACTTAACCCATTGCCTAGCCCAAAAAACAAACAAATAATCCAACAGATGAGTAAAGATGTATTTAAAGTAAATACAAAATAATTTCAAAGACTCACTAATAATTGGGGAATTAAGAGAATTGAATCAGTAAATCAGTAAACATATATTTGGGCCCAGGTGCCAGACACTATGCCAGATATTAGGGACACACAAACAGATGAGAAGGAGCTCAGAATGTAGAAGCAGGTGGCACTTGAGCTGCATCTTAGCAGGAGCCAGAGTTCTCAAGACATGGAGGTGAGGAGAGAGACCATTCCAGGCACAAGGAAAAAAAAGCTTGTAACAATGGGGTATGATGCTGCAATGTCATATGTAGGGAACAGCAAATAGACCTGGTAAGCTGGAGTATAGCGTCCATGACAGGAAGAAATGTGTAACCAGTCTGGAAATAAAGGCTGCAGCCATATATAAAAGGCTTTAAATGCTTTACAGATTAATATTAAATTAATAAAGAGGCAATAGTGAGTCATTGAAGATTGTTGAGCAGGGGAGTGACATCACACCTGTGCTTTAGGAATATCAATCTGACAACTGTGTGGAGGCTGAATTGCAGAGGGGAGAATTTGGATGCAGGGCACTTTTCTAGGAGGGGACAGGTAATGAGGGCCCAAGCTGACTGTGGTATGAATGGAGGGAAGGGAGCGTTTTTTAAAAAACCTAACCAATCAAGTCACAGAAGGGTTTTCCTCTCCCACTGTTTGATTGTATTTCTGATGGCTGTTTTATAAATCTACACATGCCCTTTTTAATGCCAGGGTATTGTTTAATGTCAGTAGAAGAGAATAATTTTACAAGTGCCTGGCATTCAATTATTTGATATAGATAGATATGCATATACACACATGTGTGTGTATGCATGATTATGTATAGACATGTGTACATATGCATATACGTATGTTGTGTGCATGTGTATATACACATGTAGGTGTGTATGTATGCACACACACATTCATCTTGTTCCTCAAACTAGATCCTTAAGCTGGAAATAAATAGCTGACTTTAATACGGTGATATACAGTTTGATATGTGCTTTACTTATAACTCTTCTGATCAATATCTTCATTTTATACATGAAGAAACTAAAAGCCCTGAAGTTTTGGTGCTTTGCCCAAGATCACACAGCTAACAAGTAGCAGTACCTCCATTTGAACCAAGGTCTCCTTATTCTAAGTCCTGTGTGTTTTCCCTAGCATCACACCATAATACTGCTCAATTAGGAAACTCCAGATGAGAATTTAAGATGGAAGAGTGGTGTTAACTGTAGCAGCAGTGGGGCTTCTGTAGCTTTGTTATCACTTAAATGGTGTAGTTTTGATTATATCAATACATCATCTCAGTGCCTGAGTTATGTACATAGTGTTCAAGTGAACTGTCATGAAATAGCAATATTCAGTATAATTCAATAAATATTTATTAAGGAGAATCTTTGT